GATTGTGGGACAGTAGTTGTTAGGACAGGGACTAGCTCATCCTTGAATTCCATTTCTCATAACCCATCCCAGGACATAAGCGAGAGGAGCCAGCCCTGACTGGGTACGCAGGGAAGGCTATTGATGGAAGGATGCCAGCTGGTCCTCAGAGCTGAGGAAGTGGACTCAGGAAAAAGACAGGACTGCAGCTCAGTAGACTGCTTGCATGGCATGGAGGAAGCCCTGGGTTCCATCGCTGGCACTATAAACTAGGTATGGTTGACAAATGCCCAGGAGGGAGAGGTAGGGGATTGTCTGTTGGAAGCCAACTTTGGCTACATAGTGAGACCCTGTCTCAGAAGTCACTAAGACCTCCAACAAGCCCGTAGTGAGGGGAAGATAGCTCTGGGGGTTTGGAGAGCTGAACCCCACTGGGAGGGGCATCAGGAACGGCTGCTGGACCAAGTGGGCTCCACTTTCCTTTGAATTTAAGTGTTGTCCTGGCACAGAGAGGCACTAACTCCATTGTGATTGTGTGCTGCCTGCGGCTGGGAGAGGATATGTATGTCCCCGTGCGTGTGTGTGTGTGTGTGTGTGTGTGTGTGTGTGTGTGTAGACAAGTTCTTATGTTTTGTAGCTCAGGCTAGTCTCAATCTTGAACTTTGACTTCAGGCATGTGTCATGGTACTCAATGTTCTACTCTGCTCTAGATTGAACCTGTTTTGTTTGTTGTGTGTGGTCCTGGGGATTGAACACAGGCCTTGCGCATGCCAGGCAAGAAGAGTTCTACTTCTGAGTTATACTCCCAGCCTTTTGAGACAAGGTTTTTCTATGTAACAGCTCTGGCTGTCCCAGAACTTGCTCTGTAGACCAAGCTGGCCTTGAACTCAACAGAGATCCGCCTGCCTCTGCCTCCCAAGTGCTGGGATTAAAGGTGTGCACCACCACTGCCTGGATCCTTTTTTGTTTTTTAAATTCTGTTTTGAGACATGATCTATGTAGGTCAGGCTAGCCTGTAACTTTTTATCTTCCCACCTCAGCTTCCTGAGCACCCTGGGATTACAGGTGTGAACCACCATAACCAACTCCAACTCGTTTGGGTGGCCCTGTTTACGGGTTGTTACTGAGGCAGTTATAAAGAAATAATGCAGGTCTGCACTGTGTGGAATTCTCAGTGGAGGCACAGGAGACACAGTCCCCCCCCCCCAATGGCACTCTCAGCTACCAGCAGAAGTTCTCCCCGGCTTTTAGGGACCCCCCCCCAAAACCAGGATTTTTGACTCAACACAGAAAAGAATTCCAGGACAGGTCAGTTTATGAAGCTTGGAGATTCTATTAAAGATATTTTAATGTAGAATTAAATGTGAGGGTTAGAAAAGGGGACTCAGCAGGACAGACGAGACAACACCTGAGAGCGTGTGCTCCAAGAGTCCTGGAAAGTAAGATAGACCCAAGTGTGGGCTCATCGAGGGAGAGTGGCACATCTAACAGTTACATGTCCCTGCTAAGTGTATGCCAACCTGACACAAGCTAGAGTCATCTGGGAAAAGGAAACCTCAATTTAGAAACTGGCTCTGTCAGATCGGCCTGTGGGCATGTCTTTAGGGTATTTTCTAAGTGGATCACTGATGGGGCCACCCCTGGACTGGTGGCCCTAGGCTGTATGAGAAAGCAGGCTGAGCAAGTCATGGGAAGCAAGTCAGTGAGCAACACTCCTCCCTGGCCTCTGTACCAGCTCTTGCCTTGAGTTCTTGCCCTGACTTCTCTGATACTGGAGTGTGTAGAGAGAAGCCTTTTCCTTGCCAGCCACTTTGGTTTTTTCCCCACCAGTCGTCTGGGCTCTGCCACATTGCAGTCCCCAAATGAACACACAGGACGCTGTATTAATTATGAAGCTGTTGGCTCTTTGCTTCTTTCTTACTGGCTATCTTTGACTTACGTATTTAACCCATCTAAGTATTTCTCTTACTGGACGGACACCTTACTTCTCTGGCGGGCTACATGATGACTCCCTGTGTTTCTCCTACCCAGAGTCCTCCTGGACTCCTAGTCCCACCTATCTTGCTTCTCTATTGGCCAACAGTGCTTTATTGACATATACACAGGACTTCCCCATCAGGAGTGTAACCTGAAAGCCAAATAAACCATTACTCTCCAAGGTGTTTTTGGTTAGTGTTTTAGAAAGCGTATAGCTGAAGCTGGAGAGATGGTTTAGAGGTTAAGAGTACTGGCTGCCCTTGCAGAGGACCTGGGTCTAGTTCCCAGGATCCCTGCATTAGCTCACAACCACCTACTGCTCCAGTTCCAGGAGATTTGATGCCCTCTTATGGCCTCTGAGGTCATGACGTGTACATGGTATACAGATATACATGCAGGCATATCACATAAGATAAAATAAATAAAAATATAAAAGATAGTGTATATGCTTACCATATTCAAATGGTGGCTAAGACACTTAAATAAGATACCTTTCAGGTTTTTTGTTTTGTTTTGTTTTTTGTGAGACTCAAAAACAAAACCCAAGGTGCCTGAAAGACAGTTTAGTAGTTAAGAGAGTGTATGGCTCTTCCAGAGGGCCAGAGTTCAGTTCCCAGCACCCACAACAGGCAGTTCACGACTGCCTGTAACTCCAGATCCCAATGTGATACTTCTGACCTTTTTTCACACACACACACACACACACACACACACACACACACACACACACACACGCACGCACAAACCCGCATGACTTTAAATCAATCAATCAATCAATCAATCAATCAATCAATCAATCAATCAATACCACAGCCCTTATTAACTCAGTGAACCACATATATGAAGACATGGAAAATGTGGGCATGCTGGGAAGAAAGGTTCTGGAGACAGGAATGAGAGTGGGAGTAGGGGCGTGTGTGAAAATTACTAACTGCGTTATATACATATGTAAAACTGCCAAACAACAGCAATAAAACCCAAAGCAAACCAGTGCCAGGCTGAGAAACCCAGTCTATGGTAAGATATTGTTAAAGAGGGAAGGGAAGCCCGAAGTCACAGGCCCCAGCATTGGAGCCCTGTTCCAGTTGCGGGTGCTGCTGCGGATGGCTTCAGGGACAGATCTCCACACTCTTCTGCCTGGCCCTGTCCACCCAGCCAGCTGTCCTTGTCCAGCTCCTCTTGTTTGCCTGCCCTCTGTGAGTCTGGGGAAGCCATTAAGTCAGGGTGTCTTACCACAGCTCAGCGCAGGCCCAGCCTCCACTCCTGGTGGGTCGTGTAGTGTTTTCCCAAATAAGCCCTTTTCTTCCAGCCGCAGAGAAATGTGAAATGACATTTTCTAAAAATGCCGCTTTGTAAAAATGCCAAGGCTAATCTCCAGGCATAAAGAACAGCGTGGAGATCAGAACTGACTCGGGAGATGCAACCTGGGAAGAATGGGCTCAGAGGTTCGAGAGATCGGTTTGCATGGCTGGGCTACTCACTAGCTGAACCTGCTGTGTGCTTGAGGGCTGCATGTTGCCTGTGGCTGTTAGAGCTCATGTTCACGCCCCAGGCAGGACTCTCTTTTTCTTGTTTTTGGGGAATCTTTGGATAGTGGGTAGCTATCAGAATGGATATGGTGGCTCATTCCTGTAATTCTAGCACTTGGGAGACAGAGGCCTGGGCTTACATAGTGAATTCCAGATCAGCCTCAAGTATATAATGAACCCCTGTCTCAAAAATTAACCGAAAAGGGGCTGGAGAGATGTCTCAGCAGCTAAAAGTGCATGCTTCTTACTCTTTCAGAGGACCTTAGTTCTATTCCCAGCACCGGTGTCAAGCAGTTCTAGGTGATCCAATGCCTCTGACTTCCCAGGATGCACACACACACACACACCAGAGCCTGTGAATAAAAGCAGTAAGGCAGACAGAATCATGGTACAGCATATGTATATATGTATATATAGAAATAGGAAGTCACTTTCAGTAATTAGTATAATTAATGTGTCAGTTATTATAAGGAAGCCAGGCATGATGCAGGGTGGTGGTGGCACACACCTTTAATCTCAGCACTCTGGAGGCAGAGATATATGGATCTATATGAGTTCGAGGCCAGCCTGGCCTACTGTCTACTAACGTTCTTCCGGGACAGACTCCAAAGATACACAGAGAAACCCTGTCTAGAAAAACCAGAAGGGGGGAAAAAGGAAGCCAGGCATGGTAACACATACTTTTAATCCCAGAACTCGGGAGGCAGAGGCAGGCTGATCTCTGTGAGTTTGAAAACAGCTTGTCTCACATCCCAGAGTGAGTTCTAGGCCACCCAGGGTGATACAGTGAGACCATGCCTGAAAACAAAACAAAACAAAACAAAACAAACAAACAAACAAAACCCAACCAACCAAACAAGTCCCCCGAAGAGCTCTGGGTCATCTAAATCCTTGAGACTCTAAAGCAGCTCCATGGATTTAGGGAGAGTAGAGAGTGCAGTATGGTTGCTAGGCAACTTCCCATGGAGGAATACATGGGTGGGGTGGCTATGGATGTATAAGGGATGGGCCAGGACTGAGGGAGGGAAAAAGCTCAAATATTCTTTTTCCATTTTTCTTCTGAGCTGGGGAAGAAGGGGCACACTGGTAAGAACCCCAAGGTTGTTTCGGGGGTGCTAGGCAATGGGTGAGAATGCTCTTTGCTGGACACAAGACGGTTAAGTAACAAAGTTGGAAGAAAGAGAGTTGACTCTCAAACGATGCTGGGAAAGGGTCGAGGGTCAGCTCTTTGCAGCTTGGAAACACTGAAATAGAGAACAAGAGAGGCTTTCCTGAGAATTAGCAAGCAGAGTGATGGTTGCTCAGCTTCCTCTCAAAAAACGATGTCTCCCCTTTTCTCCCTGGAAAAAGTACACATGACAAATCTTCCCAGAGCTGAGTGCCTGGGCTGCCATGCCTAGATGTGAACCTGTGAGGTTATGCTATCAAAGGAAGTGTGAGAGTTCCTGCTGCAAGGTAGTTCTACAGTCATGGGCTGCAGCCTAACCCTCTCTCATTCTCTCTCTCCCCCCACAGGCCTCGATGCCATCCAGTGCTCGCTGCCCATGGAGGACCGGAGAGTGGCCCTGCGGGAGCTGTCAGAAGCGAGTTTTAGCGAGTGTAGATTCAGCCTGTCCCTCACAGACCTGTTCATCATCATCTTCTCGGGTGTGGCCGTGTCCATCGCCGCCATCATCTCCAGCTTCTTCCTGGCCACTGTGGTGCAGTGTTTCCAGAGGTGCGCCCCTAACAAGGACACGGAGGATGAGGATGATGACGAGGATGACTGAGCCACCCCCCTCCTGCTCTTTGCTTTCCCATACCCAGCTAGTGGTACCACTCCAAGGGAGACAGAGATGCTGAAGACAGAAGCCTCCCATCACTCCAGGCCGTGAAAGGGATAGAGCTTGCCTAGGCACCTGCTGGGACAGCCGATCCCAGAGCATAGAATCAGCAGAGTAGAGACATGGGAAGGATGGAGAGATTCATTCCTGAGCAGAGCCCACCTGCTGGGCTGCGGCATTCATGTGTGTGTGAAGATAATCAAGTCAGGCTTCATAGCTTACAGCTTTACAACCTTCCCAAGCTGATGTGAGAGCTCACACAGCGTCTGACCTCAGAGATGTTTTTGCCGTTGTCATTACCAGCTGTGCTGTGGACCATGAGTCATCTTCCCCCTAAAAAGACGGCAGAGCTCTCAGGGGGAGACTCAAGCTCAGCTCACTCTCCAGGGGAGCAGGGATTCTTCTCCTTCACAAAAGGTCCCAGCAACTTTGGGATGCTAGACCAAGAACAAGCAAATGTACATGCAATAGATAACGTCTGTGTCTCCCCTGCGTTGTGTTGACGCCCAATACCCAGCATGAAGAATGTGAGATGACTTGAGCCAGCATCACTGAGCTGGCCTGGGTGCTGATACCCAAGGCAGAGGTTCGCAAGAAGTTCCTGGGGGTATTTTAGGGACCCACTGCGTCAGGGGCTTTTGAAGAGGTCCCTTTGGATATGACTTGGTCATGAGAATGGATTCATTTGGAGTGCAATTAGTGCCCTGGTAATACAAACTCCGGGGACCTTCCTGCTCCTTCACCAGGTGAGGACCCAGTGAGAGGGCAGCCATCTGTGAACCAGGAAATGGTCTCTCACAGGAACTCAACCGTTTTGGTACCCTACCCTCCAACTTCCAGCCTCCAGAACTGTGAGAAATAAATGTTTGTTATTTATAAACCCTCATGTCTGAGGATTTCTTTTTCTTTCTTTCTTTCTTTCTTTCTTTTTTTTTTTTGGTGATAGCAGCTCAAGGAGGGTAAGACACCATATTTAGATGAAGTGCTAACAAAAAGAAAATAAAAATAAAAGCTTGGATTTATCAAGGGTACTTGTAGTCTGCTGGTAATTAGGTTGGGAAAACGTGTGCTGGCATCACCTGGACTCCAATCTTTATCCTAAGAGGTAACAACTTGCTGCGGACACACAATTGTTGTGTGAAGTTGTGATGTCCACTCTGCTCCATCATTCTTCCATCTGTAGTGCCATCCCGGTGTTCCCCTCCAGAGTCCCATCTCAGCCAACATCTGAGTCATCTTCGGTGTTGGTATGGTCTTAGACTTGTCAGCTGAAGAAGTTTGGGGAAACTCTCCCGGGAAGCAGGAGGTCAATAAGCAGTTTGCATTGGACCAACAAAGTGTTCGTTAACCACATTAAAACTACATCAAAAATAGATGTGATGCCACACACCTTTAATGATAGAACTCAGGAGGCAGAAGCGGGCAAAACTCTGGGTCTAAGGAAGCAGATAGGGGCTCTATGAACCCCCCCATAGAGAGCTCCAGGCCAGCCAGGGGGCACACACTACATAGTGAAACCCCATATATATATAAAAGTTGGTGTCCTAACACATGCCTGTAATCCTAGCCAGTACTCAGGAGTGGAGGCAGGAGCATTGCCTCAAGTCTGAGGCTAGGCTAGGCTACATAGTACAAGTGAGACCCTGTCTTACAAACAAAACAAATGAACAAAAACCTACTATGGGGACATGGCCTCTGAACAACCTCCATCAGTGGCATCAGTGGCCTCAGGGTGTGCGTGACATTTCCTTGGAACATAGGCTGTGACAGACAGTGTTTTCTGGGGTGACAGAGACAGCACTTTGCTTCAGAGACAGTATGAAGCAAACATGTCATGAGCCCCAGCGGGTTAATGCAAAATGACTTGTGCTGGCAACATTGAGTGGGGCTGGGGGCCGAACCTGGACCAGAAGCTCACAAGAAACTGCCAGGGTATTTTAAGGAGCCACTAGCTCATTGTTTATAACGTATACCTTAAAAGCCAGGTGTGGTGGTACGCTCCTATAATCCCAGCACTTGGGAGGTAGAGGCTGGAGGGTCAGGAGTTCAGGGCCAGTGAGGACTTCATGAGATCCTATCTCTAAAGGACAAAACGTTGGGGGGCTGAAGAGATGGCTCCTCAGTTCAGATCATTCGTTTCTCCTGCAGAGGACCTTGGTTTGCTTCCCAGCACCGACATGACACCTCACAACCACTGGTAATTCTAGTTCTAGGGGAATCCAACACCCCCTTCTGGCCTTCAGGGGCTCCTGCATGTATATGGTACACATTAACTCACCACATACAAAGAAAGAAAGAAAAATCCTTTTTTTTTTTTTTTTTTTTTTTTTTGGTTTTTCGAGACAGGGTTTCTCTGTGGCTTTGGAGGCTGTCCTGGAACTCGCTCTTGTAGACCAGGCTGGTCTCGAACTCACAGAGATCTGCCTACCTCTGCCTCCCCAGTGCTGGGATTAAAGGTGTGCACCACCAATGCCTGGCCAAAAAAAATCGTTTTTCTTCCATGATCGTTACTGAGCACTTGCTGAGTGCCAGGCTCCGGTTTGTACTAGACCACATGTATGCATCACATTAGCAAAGTAGTTTTTAATTTTTTTATGCAAGGAAACAAGACTATCACTGAGAAGCAGTAGCAAACCCCAAGAAGGAAATAAATGAAGTCCCAGGAAAGAGAGTGACTCAGAGGAGGCACTCCAGAGTGTCTGGATGTTGTATGCATCGGGGATCTCCCGAGAAACGCGGTGTACATCTTGTATCAAGCGATGTAACAAGAGGTCTGTCAAAAGATGACCTGACTCATGTAATGGCTGGCGAGACTTACCATGTTGTCCTGCAGTTGTCCAGTTGGAGGCAGGAGAGCCAGTGCTGCAGTAAAAGACCCAGTTCAGCAGTCAGAGAGAGTGGATTTCTCTTCTACTGCCTTTGTGATTTACTTGGGCCCTGAATGGATTGGATGATACATCATGTTGCTCATTCATGCTATTCAAGTACTGATTTTGGCCAGGAATAGCTACAACAGACACACTTAGAACTAAGCACCCATCTGAGCACCTTGCAGCCCGGTCAACTGGACACATGAAACCAGCTACCACCTCCTAGAATGCTTCTGATTGGGTTTTGGGTGGCTTCAAGCAGAATCCCCCTCTACCTCCTCTGTTCCTAGCCTCCCTTTCTCTGTCCTTTTCTCCTACCCTCTTGCTACACTTCTCTATCCCCAGAAACCTGGGTGAGACTCTCAATCACCCCCTCTGATGTCCAGCTTTATGGTCTTATGCAGAGGGGCCGACTTCTCATAGTGGCTGGGTAGGTACATAGGTAAGCAGCATCTATCTGGTTTCCAAGGCAACCTCAGCATCTTAGTGGGCTCTGACCCTTGAATCAGGTAGACTTCTGGTGAGTAGATTGTATTCGCAAACTGAAGCTGATTGTCATATGCCACTAGGTGTTGCTTGAATTCTTGTTGTCCATCACAGATACCAATGAGCCCTTAACTGGGAGAGTAAACCTGAAGGGGGCCTTGTGGCATTTAGAGATAACATTGTGACAGTCTCCGCTTCGGTGTCTACGGCCCATCCCGCTGGTCCTTGAGCTGTGATGCTCCTCTGGGGGAAGATCCCCTTCCCTGGGAGATAAGTAAACAATGTCCACCAGTGACAACCCGAGGCAGGAGACACAGTCCCCACCAAAGTTCACCTGGGTGACCTGAGTTAGGCTTCTTTATAGAGCAGTGGGTGAGCGGTCACTGGTGGTCACCCATGGCTGGGAGTATGGGTGAGCGCAAAGCAGCCACACTGGACAGCCTGCCCCCAGCAGGGATGACGGCTCCCCATGGCTTTGTAGATAGAGTTCTGCCCCTCATCCTTTCCCATCTATATCCTGTAGTTCCTCTCCCAGGTCCCCGAGGCCACGTGCAATAAGAAGAATCAGAGCAGCGTGTAACTGGTTGGGAGGTGGCTGCACACTCGGGTGACGGTCCCATGACCCTCCCTGTCTGTTCTTTCTGTGAGAAAATGTCAGCAGGCAACAGCCCAGCCGTGGCTTTCTTTTGCAAGTGGGTCCAGCAGAACTCCTGAAGATATGGCAGCAGTTTTCTCAGAGGATAGTCCTGTACAGCTGGGGTCTCAGACTTACCCAACCTTCTTCCATCCCTCTACAGACACTCACATCCTTTTACCCTCCACCCCCTCAGGTTCCTTGCATAGCTGCAGCTTGTCCCAGCAAGGGGCAGGAGGCTTCTCCCTGAGTCCCTCTGTCTCCTCTTCCCCTAGGTCATTGACCCCTCTTGGCATCTAGGTCTCACCTCATTATTACCGTATTGGGGAGACCTCTCCTGTCCTGCTCAGCCCAGGAAAGCCCGGATTTGCCACCCTCTGAGATGACTAAACTTGGGTGTCAACTTGCCTGGGATAAAGGATGCCCAGGTACCTGATAGAGCATCCTTCCTGGGTGTGTCTGGGCAGAGTCATACCTACCTGTAGTGTGGACAAGTCCAGCCCATAGCTGAGGGTCCAAGGAAAACAGAGGACAGAGAGAAGATGGGTCCATTCTTTGCCTTCTGGGGCTGGGACTCTCATCTTCTGCCCTTGAAGACCATGTTCTCCAGCTTTTGCACTCCCTTGACTCGTACCATTGGCTCCTGATTTTCAGATCTTTGGACGGTGGTTTCTCTGGGACTCCAGCTTTTAGATAATAAATGGTGGGACTTAGCAAACATAATTGAGTGAGCCTGTTGCCTCAGGAATCTCTCTGGTGTATCTTCATGCATACGCATAGGCACGTGAATGTATATGTGTGTGTGTATGTATGTATGCATGTATGTATGTATGTGTGTGTGTATGTGTGTATGTATGTATGTGTGTGCGTGTGGGTATGTGTGTATGTATGTCTCATTTCTCTGGAGAACTCTAATCCCCTTACACTACCTGTGTGGTTCTCTCTCTATGTATGTGTGTGTGTGTGTGTGTGTGTATGTATGTGTGTGTATGTGTGTATATGTGTATGTATGTATGTGTGTATGTGTGTATGTGTATGTATGTGCGTATGTATGTCTCATTTCTCTGGAGAACTCTAATCCCCTTACACAACCTGAGTGGCTCTCTCTCTATAGCACTCATGGGGGTCAGCTGGGATGTGCTTGCTTGTGCACAGTTCTCCTGGACCATATCAGGAACAGCAGGAACAAAGTCTATCATTATTCTTCTCACTACACATGCCCAGTGCAGACCTGCCTTGAACTTGGCATCATCCTGATAAATATTGTATTTGGGAAGTCAATGGATGGAGGAGATGGACTGATGGATGGGTGGGTTGCACATTGATTCATGAAAATGGGCGGGTGGGTGGATGGAAAAGTGTTCCCTATGGATGAATGAGTAGGTGGAAGGATAGGTAAACGTGTAGGTTTTACGTGTTTGGGTGAATAGATATGCAGGTACACGCCAGGTGGATAGAAAGGTAAAAGGGCCGGGCGGTGGAGATGCATGTGTTTAATCCCAGAACTCAGGAGTCAGAGGCAGGTGGATCTCTGCGAGTTCGAGACCAGCCTGATCTACAGAGCAAGTTCCAGGACAGCCTCCAAAGCTACAACAAAACCTTGTTTCAAACAACGGCAACAACAAAAAGGGTAAAGGATTGACAAATTCATGGGTGAATACGTGTCCATCCAGGTGGATGGATGGGCAGATGAGAGAGTTATGGGGTGGGCGGGGAACTGGTGGGCTGCATATGGATGTGACTAGATAGCTTTGTAGATGCGCAGGGGGGTAGATTACAGAGAGGACAATTGTGGGGAGGTGGGCGGGTTGAATGGATAGGCGGGTCAATGGGTGATACGTGACTGAACAGACAGATGTCTGACAAAGTTCCTTTCCTTTTCAAGGATTTGAAAGC